TCTACAAATAAGATGTTATAGCATTACTTATTGGACTACTATCACAAACTTTTATATTATAGATTCACAAAATATTCTTCGGCAACTCTCTAATAAAAATATATCTATTGTTTAATCTGGTACTTATTTGAATGTTTTGTTTTTAGAGTTTCATGAATTCAAACGCAATGTATATAGAAACTTTTCTGTGCTTAAGCAGAAGTTAAATTTATTATACAAAACCAATTAGATTTTTATGAACAATGGGAACGTAATGAAAATAACAGTACAACACACTTTTCTACAGAAAGCAATGAAATAAATGTAATGTCACAATTTCCAATAGAAAGTAAGGACGCTTTAAATCAATTAGAAGAGGCTCTTATCGATAATAATTATCGTAATAACTTGGTAAAATAAATATAAATATTAATTATATATTATGTACATTAATTTTTTATAAAGTTTTTAAAAAGTTATATTATTAAATTTTATTAAATTTTAAAGTTATTTATATATCTGCTTATTTATATGACATCTATCACATTTTTATTCTCTTAGATAAATAAACTTTCAACAATTGGTGGTAAAAATTTAAAGCAGTTAATTTTAAATATAATAAAACGAATTTTTACAATAATTATTGCGAAAGAGTATAGTTGGTATGGAAAGAAAAACAACAAAAGCTTTTCGGATTTAAAACTTTGCTCAGTTGTTATCAGTAAGTATATATGTACATACATATACCCACACATACAAACACATAAACACACACTTAAACACATAGATATTTACACTAATAAACCTATACATAATGCATATACTATACATATAATACATATATTAGATTTAGTTATTAAATTATAAAAATTAGATTAACTTTCCATCTAATTCATTAAACATCTGGTTTAAAAAAATTAAAAATATGTTGAGAAGTATATGTTTATATTTATGTTATATAAATGTTTATACGTATTTGTAGGTGCAGTTCAATTAAAATAACCCGCAAGCTACCGAACATGAAATTTCGGAACCAATAAAATCATGGCTTCGTCATGCAAATGAAAAAATAAAAAAACTGTATGCTGCACAATTAAATATTTAATACTTTTCTTTATATTTTGTTCATGTATATAATTCATACATAATATTAGCGATTTTATGTATACAATATTATGTATGTAATATTATTCATATTTAGTTATAATTTTAGTAATATTAAGTTTATTAATTTATATTTAACAGTGACTAGTGCAATTTTAAAATGTACAAGACGTATCTTTAGCTTTCGTTTTTATATATACAAATTTTATTTTTATTGTGACTATTTTTACATTATATAGTAAATAAAAAATTTTTTAAATTACATATTTTATAATAAAATGTGCTTCAAATGTACTATTATTTATATTACTTATACGTACTTTACCTTTTTTGAAATGTGTCTATTTCTTAAAATAATGTAATATAATAGAAGCTTTTATTTTTAGAAATTTTGCTAATAATCTTTCCTTTATGCTCATAAAGATACTTACATGTCAAATGTCTATATAAAATATTTGAAAAAATATGTATTTTGAAAAAATGTTTCAAAAATTGTTTAGTTTTAAAGGAGTAATAAAAAGTAGTAATAAAACAATATCTTGATAGTGGTGTCATTAAAGCGAGATTATCGTAATTTTTTAAAATATAAATAATTAAAATGAAATTTTTCGAGAGAGAAAAAAAGAAACATTACTTATTAAGATTACTGTTTTATTGCTTTCTTAACTTAAAACTAAACAATTTCTGTTTAAGTCTTTTTAAAAAATATATTTTTTAAAGACATTTTAAATAAATATTTAAAATAAATATTTTTTTGGGTGGTATTTATAGTCCGATTTTATATTTAGAATTTTCTTATGATTTCATTCAACTAATGAAATAATGTTGCGCAACCATTTTGTTGATTGAATGTTTTAAAATGATTTCGAATATAAGATCGGATTATTAACACCATCCTATATTCAATAATTTTATTTGGATTTTATCTGGATAAAAAAAGATATCCAAAGGACATTGTTGGGATCTAATTTAATCATATGTAGGATATCCCAGGAATATCCCAGGGATTTATTTTTGGATGTCCTACGGATATCTGAAAAGCGGACATTCGGATATCCTACGGCTTTGTACAGACATCCCAGGGATATCTGAAAATCCTTTACATTACATCCCACGGACATCCGTAGGATGAAATTTTGCTATGTGGGATATATTGCTCGTTTTTCACCAATAATAAATATTCATATAAATATAAATATTATAAATATTAAACCATCAATAAATATTGATATAAATATAAATATTATAAATATTAACCTTTACTTGTCTCAATTGCTCCAGTTGCTTTGAAATAGCCAAAACAGCATTGCCGCTACGTTCATAACCAATCATAATGTAAAAATATGTAGAATCGGAACACGCCGACTCGATATGCCTTGACACCCGTGCAAATTCATGTGTTAAGGCCATAGACATATATAACTAGATCCAGCATGCCGTATATTTCCTTATGATATTCGTTGGGTTTGGCCATGAAGAATAGAGAACAGGAGGCCGAACTTAATAGGCGATGGCGTTAGATTCAAGATCTATAGAGAGAAGGTTACCTCACGCGCAAAGAGGGACGCGCGGCAAGAGGGGCACATGCTGAGCGGAGTGAGCGGCAAGAGGGGCAATGATGATCTCATCGACGAACAGTAGCTGTCTCTCTCGCACGCTTTAGTGTTTTCTCTCTCGCTCCTTTAATATAGAAATGCTTTGAGTTTTTATCGAAAAAATACTTTTATTTTGTAAAATATTGATAGCACTGGAAATTGCGTAATAAAAATTGAAAAGTAAATTAGAAAGGCGCTATAAATTACATATATTGCTAATTATAGCGCTAGATATTTAACG